CTGAAACCCTTCTGCTGTGTATAAATGAAGCTAAATAATTGCTGGAGCCAGCACTTAACTTTTGTCACCTAGATACTTGCTTATTACTTATAGAGTGGTTCTTACTCTCTGTGAGAACCTCGTGGTTGTTTGGATATGTTGAGTGAAGCACAGCAGTTTCACAGGAAAGTTCAGATATGGAGAATCTAGAAATATTCATTAGAAAATGACTGAAGAAATCATAAGATAAATAGTGCTAGTAGAAGGATTTTTTTGTGTGTGTCAGCTAGGGATATAGTTCAAGAGGTTTTGAAGCAAAAGGAAAGAACTCCTGAGGAAGCACTTGAGAACATAAAATCCAATAACAGGTTATCCCTCCCTGTCCCCAAGCAAAATACAAAATTAATTCCTTGCTAACAAAAGCAAGACCCAAAAACCTACCTATTCAAAGAATCGTTAGAGGAATTAGAAGTAGGCCATGAGTTAAGTGGTACTAACTGTGTTGATAATATGACTAAAATTGCATGAGATTAAATGAAACTTTATACAGACATTTAAAAATAAACCAAGATAAAACGTAGCCTTGATTTTGGATATAAATTGCTTTGAGGTGATGGATGCATGGTATAATTATAATGCTGACTACAATAAAATGTAAATGACTGTATCTTTTCTTCTTTTTATAGTTCTAAAACAGACCCTGTTACTGGAGCTGTGAAAAATACCAAATACCATCAGCTTTAGTAAGCACTGCAAAAGTAACTTTGCTTGGTCACATAAGCCTGCAGTCGAAGTGTGTGAGCACACACATGCATGTGTGTGTGCATGTGTGCATGCACATGTGTACTTCTTTCTTTTCCCAAAAAAGGTCTTTGTTTCTGTGGAGTTGTTAGGGGAGGAGGATGAATAGGAAGAGGATTTTTTAATCAGCTTTTTCTTCTTCACTTGCATGTAACTTCCCTAGTCTTACTGCGCATTTCTGAAATACTGAACTCTTTGACACTCCTCAGCTTAATTTATTTTTCATAGGAAAGCACTTTAACTGTGGTGTAGACACAATACAAGTGACAGGGCACTCTTGGCATTTCTGTAATGTTTATCATTATGTATTGTTCACAGTGACTTGCTGGGTTTGGTTACTTACCTGGACTGGGTCATGATCATTGTTACTATATGCTCCTGCATTTCCATGATGTTTGAGTCCCCCTTTAGAAGAGTTATGCATGCTCCAACACTCCAGGTACTGTCATTCAATCATTTTACATTCAATGAAGCACAATCACCTTGGTTTTCTCCACTGCCTTTTCCTAAATGATGACTGTTCTCTGCTTGATTTTTCAGATTGCTGAATATGTTTTTGTGATATTCATGAGCATTGAGCTTAATCTGAAGATTATGGCAGATGGCTTGTTTTTTACACCAACAGCTGTCATTAGGGACTTTGGAGGAGTTATGGACATATTTATATATCTTGTAAGTTTTTTGTATTTATAGGAGGTTTCTGTAGTGTTCTTAATTTTTATATCTTTAGATATTTAATTGTTTGCTAATGTTAAGGTTTCACTCTGTACCTTAGTGCAAATGCAGTAGTGTAATATGTGTACAAACACCACTGTTTTCATGTGCAGTCCCATTAGTAAAGTGTACAAATAACTTGTTTAGACATCTAAAAATCTATTGATGTGTGACAAGCACCTGGTAATTTAGTGTAGGGCCATCATGTGGCCCCTTGTAATTGTTTATTTGTTGCTATATTTTATATTTCAGTTCTGATTTCATTCTAAAGTAAGCTCAAGATATTGACCTTCCTTCAGCATTTTTATTCAGGAGAATCTGTGTTTCGTGTATTTCTGAGCCATTCATTGCTTCCTCCCCTCTCAGTGGTTCTCCTGCTTTACAGGAGTTGTTGCTTGTACCACTGGACAGAGGGCACATCTTTGTTGCTGATGTTGCTATAGCAGGAAGAAAGCAAAGCAGCATCTTCTGATATTCCATACCTATCAGCACTGGTTCTCAGGAAAAAAATGTTCTACTGTTTTCTTCAGACCCCAGAAATTTCTTGCATTCCATTCAAATACAAGAGAAGGGCATCCATTTCCTCTTCACATATGACAGTAAACACCACAGAATATGTCAAAACCAGTGCTTGGTATAATACAGTATGAAATATTTTCTAACTGAGGAAATTACTACGCAAAATGGCTGTGCTGGATTTAGATTAAATCTTTCAGAGATTAATCTGCCAGACAGATGTGCTGCCTAAAATTTGTCACGATCCATTTGTATCAAAGATTCCATTGTTAGCATAAATAAAAATGTGCATACTTGGAGAAAACTCCTATGGTAGTATGCACGATCAGTATGTGCATTAGTTTCTTGAAATCCCTCTGAATCCCCCTGCTTGTCTGCAGGAAACTTTAGGTAGTATAGCTTGGATATTCCAAACATGCCTGTGGTGATCTTAAAAGAGTATGAAAGGAAATCAAAAGCATTCACAAATCTTTTTGTTTTGGTGAGGCAGCTGTCTGTTACCAATGTTGTCTTAAAGAAATCGTATTATGGTTTAAATCATATTGGTGAACCTCCATTTTTTGTGCACTTACATCTTTGTAACACTCTCACCTCTGTCCCCCGATAATAATATTCGCTTTATAAATACTCTCTTAAAAATATGAAGTAATTAACAGATTTTATAATCAATAACCATTTGTCAGAGATTGTCCAGGCTACATGAAACAATGATGCTGTTTGGAAACGCTTTCAAATGTATACTATTCGTGTGACAAAACCACACGGTGACAGAACTACTTATGCCTGTAACAAAGTGTTAGGAAAAACTGGCAAGGGAGCTGTTAACAGACTTTCCAGGTGAGGATATCTCAGTTTCAGGATAGAATCTCTGTTTGAAATGAGAAGGGAGGAGGGAGGTGATGATGCCTGCTCCAAGAATACAGTTCATGTCCCTGGTCTCAATCAGCCATTTTGATTTCTTCTCTTGGAACTGTTCCATCTGCTGAAAAGAATAAAATAGATTTTTATCTTCCAAGGGGAAGACAGAGACTGAAGCTGGTGCCCATTATTTAGGACAGTCAACCTCAGAACAGGAGATCCAAGTCCTTTTTCTAAATTAGGCCTTTTTTGCCTTAATCTTCCCTTTAATCCTAAGGAAAATAAGTGTTTATTGATCTTCTGCGCTGCGTCTGTGACAAGTAAGACATTTTAAGCCTAATCCTTCCTTGCCTTTTCCTGCCCCGTGTCCTCAAGGTGAGTTTGATATTCCTGTGCTGGATGCCTCAGAACGTCCCTGCCAAATCTGGAGCGCAGCTCTTGATGGTGCTGCGCTGCCTCCGGCCTCTTCGCATTTTCAAGCTGGTCCCTCAGATGAGGAAGGTGGTGCGAGAGCTGTTCAGTGGCTTTAAGGAAATCTTTTTGGTACGTGCCGGGTATTTTGTTCTTGCTTTTAAAAAGAAGATATGGAGGAGTAATAAGATACCATCTTGCTATAACGTTTATGTTTTCTGATCTTCTCTCCATTGTCGTCTGTTAAGTTTTCTTTGTAGCTACCACTGCAGATGACCACAGAACAGGTTAAAAATTAGGAATATAACTAACTCATTTACATTTATACTGAATAAAGCTGCAGTAATAATTCTTTTAGAAATTACACTATTTGTTCAGTATATATTTGGCCATAATGACATAGAAGGACTACTGAAATAAAGTCTGCCCCTTATGCACAGTTCTAGTTTGGAAAGGCAGAAAAGAAGTAGGGTATGGCAGCTCTGCAAGAACGAAAGTAAACCTTGTTTCCAAGCTGAAGGTCTCTGCCTCCAAGTGTTTTGAGAGGCCAGAGACAATGTACTTATTCATCACGGGTCTTGATCTCATTGTTATGTCATTGTTAGTATTATGATCATGTTTATGCACTTACAGTAATAATAGCGATAATGAAGTCTGTGATTGTTTGATCAGAACCTAATCTATTGTCTTGGGGTGCTATTTGTCAGCCTAAACAGCAGACATTTTGTTCCTTAACAGAATGCTGTATTAGGTCAGGTTGTTACAAAAAGCTAAGCTACAAAATATTTGCAGACCATAATAAAGCAAGGACAAAAAGTACAACGCTAGTTAGCATTCTGTTAAAGGTATTTACATTGTAATTTGCTCATGCATATCTTTATTATAGATATCCTGGAATTAAATATCTAACAATGGCTTACTCAGATTAACTAGTAAAGCATGATTCAGGAAAGCAGAAGTACATATTTAAGTATTTTAAGAGTTCTTTTTAAAGTGAATGGCAATTCTTATGCATACAGAATTTGACAAGGCAGTACACTGAGTGCAGGAAAGATCTCATCATTTTCTATAGTTCTTAGGTGCTATATTAATAATGGTTACTGGATTAGAACCTAAAGTAACCTCTATCACAAAAGCTGTATATCCAGGTTTATGCAACAAAACAATCCTCCCTGCAATTCCTGGATGGATCTGACCACTTTTTCAAGTTTACAGAAGGAGAGCTTGACAAATCTAACCATCTTCACAGGTTTCCATTCTTCTACTGACACTGATGCTTGTTTTTGCAAGCTTTGGAGTGCAGCTGTTTGCTGGAAAGCTGGCTAAATGCAATGATCCTCACATCATCTCTAGGGTAAGAACTGCTTTTCTTCTTCAAAAGAATACTATGCGGTGACAGTTCTGCCTGCTGGGGAAAGCAAGTGGGGCAACTAGGCCCAGTGTATGAGAGATGGAGATCTTGAGCACCTTCTTCTTCAGAAGTAGGGTGATGGAGAGAAAAGTAATAAAGGAGTGGGTGAGGGTAAGCTGAGGTTTCATCTAAAACAGTAAAGCAAGTCCAAATGTTGGTGACTTTGTGTAAACATTGTCAAATTCATGCCATATTATCTGCAAAGGACTGGATGTCACATGGAATTAACCATGGAAAATTACACCTTTGCATTCCTAGGTCATCAGCTAAAAACAAGGTTAGGCTTCTAGAGGTCAAAAGCCCTGGGAATGCTATGTAGGTTACATGGAGCAAGTTACCTGTGTTTCTTACTCCAGTTGGAGTCATCTGAAGAGACCAGTGGTCTTTAGGAAAGAGGTGAAATGCTAGATGGTCTTGCAAAATGAGAAGCACTCTCAGTCCTGGAAGAAGGGGTTTTTAAATCTTTCCTAAGATGCAGTTTTCATTTGGATGAAGGCCCATGGCTGTTAATCCCAGACCTGTAAATGACCCTTCATTTCTTTTTACATTGCTTCCCTGACATGGTTAGGGTGCTGTCTGTGCTGGCCTCTCCCACAGGCCATTATTTAATCTCAGACTGTGGTTTATTTCACTGTAGGAAGATTGTCATGGCATCTTCAGAATAAATGTAAGTGTTTCCAAAAATCTCAACTTAAAGTTAAGACCTGGAGAGAAAAAGCCTGGATTTTGGGTGCCACGAGTCTGGTGAGTTGCTACACATTAGCCTGTCTTCAAAAACACAGCTGCTGTTGTAGAAAATTGATCCAATCTCATGGCATTAAACTACTGATGAAGGGGGTTTATTGTAAGTCAAGTGACATGAAGGGTAAAAATTCTTGTATATGTAGTAAAGAAGCCAAATATATGAAACCTTTCCAGACTTATCCTGCTATCCTATTCATAAAGCAGAAAGGAAAAAAATGCCCATAGGTACTGAACATAGATAGGAATTAGATATGATTCTTATTGCAATGAGAGTTATTGTCTTGAACCAAATTTGTAATTTAATTGATGTTAGTACTATTGTGAAGACATCCCGAGAGCCATACATCAAGCAACAGAACCTAAGAGTAAATACGAAAAGATGTGAGGAAAAAGAAGTGGAACTCAACCTGTCTACAACTACTCATAAAAAAAAGAGCAAGCCATGCCTTAAACTAGCCTTTCTCCTCATGGCCATCAACCACATCAGCTAGCAGCTTCTTTCTGTTCCCAGTGCAGGGAATCCTTGTCATCTTGATGATCTTGGAGGTCCCTTCCAACCTAAATGATTCTGTGATTCTATGATTCTATGATCTGTCTGGTGCAGTAGTGCAGTAAAAATTATTTAAGAGGTAACATCATGTTTATGAGTAGAATTCTGATGAAGCTTATTTAATATTTCCCAACACCTGAACAGGCAAAAAAACCCTCTTTTTAATTGTTCAGAACTTTAAGTTGGTTGGCATTTTGCAAAATCAGCTTAACACCCGCAGCTATTTTAATTGACTCTGTGCATGGATAAAGAATGTACCATCAGTGGTAGATTCAGAGCCATCCCTCAGTAATGAAATAATATGCTGTGATTTGAACAGTCAGTGAAACTCTGACATCTGCAGAAGTCTTTGTTTCTGTGTGCTTCAGACAAATTCTTCCTCAAGCAAGCAAATTCAGTCCTTTTCAGCTTGATCCAGAAATAAGCAAAAACTGGTTAATCAGCATAACAGTAAACTTGGGGGATGTTTTGTTATTGCAGAGAAATTTTTTACCACAAGGATATTTATACCACCTGTTGGCTGTGCCAGGCTGGATTTTCAAGAGCCAGATGTCAGTGTAAGGAGTGCATTTAAAAGAAATTTCTGCAGCTGAGAACTCTCTTTTTCACTGAATGGCTGGACTTTCAGAAGCACCAAACATTTAATAATTCTTCTAGAATACAACTTTTTACCTTATAAATTTTTGAAAATTGATTTGGCTCTTGGATGATCTGTCTCAGATCATGGAGACAGAGCAATGTGCTAACCTAGTCCAGAGAGTGTACTTTTAATGTTCAGCTGGAAACATCCTCTTGAATCTCAACTGATACAACAGGTCAGATCATATGATACAGTGAAGCCAAGAAGGTGTGTTGTCTTCTCAGTAAGTTATGCTTTAGACCATCAGTTCCCCATGATAATGAAATAAGGAACAGCATATTCTAAGTGATCCCACTGACTTTGGAGTCCAAATCATTTGTATGGGTTCAAAACTGTCTCATTCAGGTAAATTTATTTTAGAATCTGGCCAATGCCATCAGATCCATTTTTTCATTAATGCCTTATTTTGCTGTTTTCATTGACAGAAACACTAAAATGCAGCAGCATGTTATATGCTTTGTTGCTGTGAATATAATTCTTGGTAAGAAAATAAAACATACACAGGTATCAAAAAAAAATTATGCTCTACATATTTACTGCTGTTGCCATTGTTTTCTTATTCATGAGATAGAACTTTGAATGATACATTTCAGAGGCTTTTACACCAACTTTGCAAGGCATTTAAATGTTAGCAAGACTATGAAGAATTAAGGTAACAAATGGAAGAAATTTATTACTGAAGTTACACCTATTTGTGTACTGCATTTCAGGGCAAATCCTCGGAATTTTAATTTTGACAATGTGGGGAATGCAATGCTGGCACTATTTGAAGTTCTTTCATTAAAAGGCTGGGTGGAAGTCAGAGATGTTATTATTCATCGTGTTGGGCCGGTAAGGAAACATATCACAGTCTTTTAATTCTGCAATGCATACTTTGGTTTGTTTTAACTCTTGATCTTATTTTTGTCTATTCAGATCCATGGAATCTACATTCATGTTTTTGTATTCCTTGGCTGCATGATTGGACTGACCCTCTTTGTTGGAGTTGTCATCGCTAATTTCAATGAAAACAAGGTACTGAGTGAGGTGGTTTATTGTGTGCAGAACCAACTCTGTAATTAACCTGAAACTGATACTACACTGTCTACATCACCTGGTAAGACTGCCTTTCCAACTGACTTACCAGTCTTACATTCTGAAAGCCTATAAGTATGGCTTCAGAGAAACCTGATGCACATTTCCTACAAAACTCAAGCCTGGGATGATAGCAATCCATCACACGCTCTTTCAAAGCTGAGTTTATTGACAGTGCAGCCATGTTGCTAGGTGGAGTTTGAGCCTGAAGCACAATGTGTCTACAGATGTTCTACATGCTGCTGTTTTAGTTTGATGTAGGCATACGTGCAGTGGCAGGTGGGAAGGCATGTTATGTTTGTATGTGTTATAGCCGAGGGGTCTCATTAGAGCCCTGCAATTGGAGTATTTCAGATCCAAAATCAAGCTGCATGGCTTTTTTCCTGACAAACTGCAGAGTACATTGTAAAATTAATTGCCTATCACTCAAACAAAAAAAAGGTAGCTAGCGTTCTAGGAAAAAACTACAATTCACATGGGATTTGTAGATTACCCTGAAAAGTAGAAAAACCTGTCTGTAGGTGAATTGTTACAGGACAGCTCATGTCTGCACTTGTTAAGGATACCATCCTCTGGATGGGACTGCACACTGCACAGCCCTTAATCTTTTTTTTTTCCTGAGCCTCTTGTTCTGCCCCTGTGGCATCAAGACTTAATTATTAACTTTTTTATTTCATCTTTCAGTTCAAAGTCTCAAAAATAATGAGATGTTTGTGTTGCAGCTAGCTAGAGTGTTACTTTTATCACGCATAGTACGGGAGAGAAAGGATGATTGTGTGTTCTGGGGCTTGGAGATGCAAGGCAACCCAGTATGCTAGTGCTGGGGATCACAGAATCGTTATGGTTGGAGGAGATCTTTAAGATCATTGCGTCCAACCAAGCCACTTCTACACCAGTCCTGTTCAACATCTTCATCAACAACCTCGATGATGGTATAGAATGTCTTCCCAGCAAGTTTGCTGATGACACGAAGCTGGGAGGTTTGGCTGACACACCTGAAGGCTGTGCAGCCATTCAGCGAGATTTGGACAGACTGGAGAGCTGGGCCAAGAGGAACCTCATGAGGTTCAACAAGAATAAGTGCAGAGTCCTGCACCTGGGGAGGAGTAATAAAATCCACCAGAACAGGTTAGGAGGAGATCTACTAGAGAGCAGCCCTGTGGAGAAGGACCTTGGAGTCCTGGTGGACAACAAGTTGTCCATGGGACAGCAGTGTGCCCTTGTGGCCAGGAGGGCCAGTAGTCTCCTGGAGTGCATTAAGAAAACAGAACAAGGGAGGTCCTGCTCCCCCTCTACTCTGTCCTGGGGAAACCTCACCTGGAGTATTGTGTCCAGTTCTAGGCTCCCCATTTCCAGAGGGACAGAGATCTACTCAAGAGAGTCCAGCAAAGGGCTACGAGGATGACTGGGGGACTGGAACGCCCGCCCTATGAGGAGAGGCTGAGAGACCTGGGGGTTTTCAGTTGGGAGGAGAGAAGACTTAGGGGGGATCTAGTTAACTTGTATAAATATGAGGGCTGGGTGTCAAGAAGAAAGGGGCAACCTCTTTTCACTTGTGCCCTGTAATAGGATGAGGGTTAACGGTTACAAGCTGGAGCACAGGAAGTTCCACCTCAACATGAGGAAGAACTTCTTTACTGTAAGGGTTCCAGAGCACTGGAACAGGCTCCCCAGGGAGGTTGTGGAGTTTCCTTCCTTGGAGACATTTAAGACCCATCTGGATGTGTTCCTGAGTGACCTGCCCTAGATTAGATGGTCCTGCTGATGATTCTGTGATATCACTGAGCACCCCATCTAGATGGCTTTTAATACATCCAGGGATGTATCAACCACTTCTCTGGGAAGCCTGTTCCAGTGATTGATCATCCTTTTGGTGTAGAACTTTTTCCTAATGTCTAACCTAAACCTCCCGTAGTGTAACTTAATAAACTGGGATAAACTGTGTGCTGGCTGTAGCCCTCCTATGGGCCTGACCCAGGTGCTGTAGCAAACACAACTGTTCAGTTTGCCCTTCAGGGAAACCTCTTGACTCCTTCTGGAAAGGAGCTGAGCAGCACACTCAGTGTGTCCAGTGTGGGAAAGCAAGGCATCGTGAAATGAAGTCAAGCAGGTCACAAGCCACGAAGCTTAAAACCTCTGCTGTTCAGAAGGCAGTTTTATGTTTGCATGACTCCGGTGTAATCTTGGTAAGATGAAGTGCAGTCGTTCTTGTAAAAATGCCTCTGTTCTAGAGAACAAGGAGCAATGTCCTATTCATGTGTTTTCTTACTCACTAGATTTTGACTAGTGAATGACCAAGACTGAAATTTCTCCAGGGTGAGAATTCCACTGGATTTTTAGGGTTGCTTTTGCCCATTTCTGTTCAGCTGTATAATTCTGGTTTTGCTTCAGACCTCTCAGGCTTACACTGATGAATACAAAATATTTTTTGGCAAGTGTTGAAACAAAAATGAAGTAATTTCATTTAAATTACTTGTAATTAAAATATTATTTGAAATATAAGAATTACTTTAATGTTTCTCTTTGTAGCCATGATGTATTGAGCTGTGTATGTTTCTGTCATTCACATCATGGTTCATGAAATTATATGGAGGTGTTATCTGCGCATTTCTAGCGTATAAATTGTTTCTTCATTCCCTTTACACTTCCTACAGAGGTCAGTTTTCTCAAGAACCTGTTCATAGGCAGAAGTGTAGGCGAGAGGAAGAAATATCATGTTACAGAGTTTGCTCTTAAATAGCTTTGGATCACGACTGATCAAACATCTTCCCGTTACCCTGCAGAGGTATGGTGCGTGTGGTGTTCAGGTGTGAGGACGTGGTGGCCATTTCCCCTTTAGTTTTGCATCTGGTCTTGAATGTGTCTATCATGTATTCTCAGCCAGCTCTGTGGGCAATGAAGAATCATCAGGAGCAGCTTGGCTGCTCTGGGTTGCTTTGCGACACCTACAGGCATCTACTTTTGTGCATTGTCATAGAAAAAAGGTACTAGAGGAGCTGGATCTTTGCCCTTGCTGGTATGACTTTTCTTAAGCTTCTGTAACAATAGGCCAAATCCTACTAAATGCTGTCAATCTCCTAGACAGTGTTTTCACTCTTGGTTCCCAGTTCCTGTAGGAGTCATTTACAAGACCAAGTTCACTGTGTCAGCCTGTCTGCTGCAAAGGCAGCTTATAAGATTTCTTTCACAAATTAGTGAGATGTCATTAACTTGTAACTCAGTATTCACCTCTGTAGTCAACTGTCAGCTATGGAATAAGGTGATTTGGGCCAATACACATTACTTTTGAAGTGGTTTATCCACAGTCTCAGTGCAAATTTTTCACCAATATTTTGTTTTTAGGTTTGAAATATGAACATGAACAGGGGAAAAACACTCTTAATTATGTGTGACTGTGTAGCAAATTCATATTTCATTCCCTTCTCCTAGATATTCAGCTTTAAAGACAAAGGACAGCTCAAAGTGATGTGAAAAGTAGAAGTTTGTTTCTGTTCATTATGATTTAAAATGAGAGGGAACAGGAAGGTGTGAACATGAGGCTTATAAAGATTGTGAGCTCAGGAGACAACTAAACAATTCAAATTACAGTCAATATAAATCATCTATGTCTTTTAGTTCAGACTCTTCAGTTATTAGTGACCTGAGGTAGCTGTTGTGACATGTAATGTTTGTCTTTCTCTTTTTTCTTGAATTGTTGTTACTTTTTTAATGTTTACTATAGGGAAAAGAGAACATCTTCAAATTTAAGCTGAAAATATGGATATATTAGTTAATTATGCAGTGGGAGAAAAAATCCAAGCCAAGTCAATATTCAAGTAAAGTGAAGAAATGCACAGGAATTGTGAAGTAAGATCAGAGAGAATGCTGGTAATTAGTCCAGAAAGAGAGTCAAACAGTCCACTGTGTAAGGTGAAGTTGCATGTTCTTTGGCCAAGATATCGGTGTTTTAAGTAGAAATTGGCGGATACATGGTTAGATTAGTGCAGGAGTTGTTGAGGAAGCTCAGAGTTGGACAATTACTGAATAAACTATTTCACATGAGAAAAAAAAAAAAAAACCACAAAAAAAACCCCACAATATTTTTCAGATATGCCATAGTATTTCTTGTGAGCTGTGGGAGCTGCTGTGTGGAAAATGATACGGTTTGGGCTTGGCATGAGGAGTAGGCATGGAATCATGGGATCACAGAATAGTTTGGGTTCGAAAGGACCTTAAGGATCATCTAGTTGCAAGCTGCCTGGCATGGCAGGGACACCTTCCACTAGACCAGGTTGCTCAAAGCCCCATCCAGCCTGGCCTTGAACACTTCCAGGGCTGGGGCTTCCACAGCTTTTCTGGGCAACCTGTTCCAGTGTCTCACCACCCTCACAGTGAAGAAATTCTTCCTAATACCTAGTCTAAATCTACCTTCTTCCAGTTTGAACCTATGACCCCTTGTCCTATCACTACAATCCCTGATAAGATTCCCTCCCTATCCTCCCTCCCCAAAGCCTCCCTGCAGGCTGCCTTTAAGTACTGGAAGGCCACAGTAAGGTCTGACTGGAGCTTCCCCTTCTCCAAGCTGAACAATTCCTGCTCCTTCAGCCTGTCCTCATAGGAAAGGTGCTTCAGCCCCTTGGTCATCCTTGTGGCCCTCCTCTGGAGCTGTTCAAGTAGGTCCATGTGTTTCTTACACTGAGAGCCCCAGAGCTAGACACAGTACTCCAGGGGAGGTCTCACCAGAGTGGAGTGGGAATCACCCCCCTTGATCTGCTGGCCATGCTTCTTTTGATGCAGCTCAGGATGTGTTTGATTTTCTAAGCTGTGAGCACACATTGGCTCATACTCAGTTTTTCATCCCTCATTATTGTATCTGTAGTTTTGTCCACACAGTGTTGGAAGGCACCTCCTCCCAGGTTGCCATCAGGGGACACAGCTCCATTAAAACACTTTATCCACCGGGAGGGAGGAATCCTGACCTTAGCAGTTGCACAGCCAGCCACAGTTCCAGCATCTACACAAGCCAGTGCTGAAGCAAGCATCAAAGATCACGCCAGCCCTTGCTCAGCTTAGTGCTGCTCTGTGCTGACTGAGGAAGCAACCAAATATTTGGGAGACAGGCTTGTGACATTTGCCTTGAAAAGGTCTCCCTTTTGTTTTTAGAATTCCAAACTCCTTCCATGAGATTTCACAGTTCTTTGAAGTGACGAGGACCTCATTTTGTTTTGAAGGTCATTTTAAATAACATTGAATTCTGTTTGGGTTTGCTCGTTTCTTCCTGTGTTATGAAAACACACACATTAACATCTCCCACCGCCCACCCTAGAGGTGTACCTCAGCCTGTCCTTGCGCTTCCTTTGTGAAGAGCTCTTGGAGACTCCTAGCATACTATTATTTTATTTCAATTACACCCCAAGCAGAAGAGCTGTGGAGGGCGGCAGCGGTCTCCTGGAGGGCTCATTCTCCGTGAAACTGCAGCGGCACTGACGAGCCACAGGATTTACTGCAGCAGAGTCTGGACAAAATTGACCACTCTTTAAAACGGTGCTTCCTGGCAAATGATGTTCAGTCAAATGGAAGACCTCCTGCAGCCTTCCACTGCTCACGCCGGGCTGCTGCTACAAAGAGCAACAACTGTGCCTGCTGGGCTGAGTCCCAGAAACTCACAGCTAATGCATCCAGAAATCCTCTTGAGTAACAGCTGATACTTTAGACTCTTTTACCCAAACAGCCTGTTATTTAAGGAGAGTTGTGTATGTAACTTCATTTCAGGCCCCGAAGAGAATGTTGTTTTCATGTTTACAGCATTAAATGTTCTAGCTTTTATATGACAAAAGCTTTCTACGCTTCTCTTTGTTTATTAAGGGGACAGCTTTACTGACTGTAGATCAGAGACGATGGGAAGATCTGAAAAGCAGACTGAAGATAGCACAACCTCTTCATCTCCCACCTCGTCCGGGTATCAAAGATATTTTGATTTTATTCATGTTGAGCCCTAGTGTTCATCATTCCCCAGGAGCCTGCGATTCAAATTAAAATTGTAATCGTGAGGCCACTAGGAGGTTGTGCATAAAGTTAATGTGGAAACAGGCTCCAACTACAGATCTCTGCATAAGGCTATTAAAATCAACCCAAAAAAGGTTGTGCTTCGATGGGTTTAGGATAAGCTTTAATGAAAAAATGAATTTCTAAATGAAAAATATTTGCAGTTGGCCGTTAATGATATGGATGGAATGTATTAACCTGACAGCAGTTGAATTATGTACTTGCCCTACAAGTACCAATGCCTTCATGCAACACTGGTGCTCAGTATTTGAAATTATATGTTCAGAAGCCCTATTTGATATGGAAAATTGTAGCAGAAAATTAGAAATGTATTTTGAAACTGGTAGAGGATTATTTTGCCACTAATGAACATGGAAAATATGTCAAGAAATAGGGGGAAAATGCCACTGTGTATTTTAACTCTCCTCCTAAAACTCTTTGTCTTTCAGATAACGACGGGTTTAGAGCAAAGATGTATGATATAACTCAACATCCATTTTTTAAGAGAACTATTGCTGTACTTGTTCTGGCCCAGTCTGTATTGTTATCAGTTAAGGTAATTCTATTTCTTTTAAGCCTTTCATTACAGTAGCACAAGATATGTTGCACATTTCCTAACACCAATTAACAATCAGTTGATTCATTTACTGTGATGAATGCAGGGAAACATGATTTCTAGGTACACCAATCTCAGCTGGCACAGAGCACTGTAAATTAACTGTAACTTGTGGAGCTCAGTCAGTTTCTGTCTTTTTGTAGTCTAGTGCACTAGTTTTAATTTCCACTCAAGCTGTATATCTGTGAGAGAAGGATATGCCAAGATGCCATTCCTGTCTGAATATGTTTAAAGTGAAATCTATTCATTAACAAAACCTGCAAGAAAAATTAAGGCAATGAAGAGGCATTTAGTTCTGTTTAACAATGACTTTTCTATTAACAGATTTTGTTTGCATTTCAGTGGGATGCTGCAGATCCAGTGACTGTGCCTTTAGCAACAATGTCTGTTGTTTTTACCTTCATTTTTGTCCTTGAGGTAAAGTAATATATTTTAGGATTTCTTGAGACTAAGACTATTATGTATATATGTCATTTTTTCTTTTTGTATGTTGTCTCATTCTTCACTATGTTTTTTTATTTCTAAACATGTATTTTTGGGGCTCTCCGTGTCACTTATCTTTAAACATGTATTGCAGTACTAAACTTTTAATTTATTGCAGTCATACTTCATCACCCCCATGAGCTTTGTGTCCTTTTATTTATGTTCAACTCTGAGCATTTCAACATGTGTTTTGGTGAACCCAGTGAACAACTCTTACAATTACAGAATCGTAGAATTGTTCTGGTTGGAGGAGACCTTTAAGATCCCCAAGTCTAGCAGAACATCTGAGAATAAATTGACTCCATACAACACAAGGTCTCTGTTGTATCATAGAGGTTCTGCCTGTTCCAGGTTCTGCTTGTTCCATTTATATTTTGCCTGGCACATTAATCATCACTATTCTGTAGCTGTGACATCATCAAACCTCTCTGTTTTGATTTTTTTTTTAAAGTATTTTATTTCATTTTAATACATTTTAGTAAGCTATGTCAAACTCCAGTATTACCTATCCTTTGTTGCACAGATATGAATCCTGTCTGGTAATTGTTCTCTATCTATGAGAAAATTGTCACCACAACCAACTGTGCAGGGTGTAATTAGCTTGTTTTCATAAAACTGGAGTCCAAGGACTTAACGACATTTTTACACAAATGGATTTTTTCATGTCTAAGGATATCTGTAGTGTAACAAAGCACACATTTATGAAGTTAAAGAAGTTGTTTCCTCTGTGGTTAGATTTTTATATAATTCTTTTATAAGTTTGTGGCTGAGGATTTTTCTTTTCCGTCTCCTCTGAGTAGCTGATACTGTCCACTATCAGAAACAGGATAGCAGAATACATTTCCCACTGCTCTAATCCAATGTGACAGTTCCTATGTTCCAGTGATAGGTTTTGCCAGCAGTGATGAATAAACAATGAAGTGAATACCTTGTAGGAGCTGTAGCAAGAGTATGTCCGTGTTGTTGCTTCTCTTTTCCCTACCCAGGAGAAATCAATATCTCTTGAGAGACTGAGCAAACACAGAGAAGTTTGATTTGTATCATACACAGACAGGTTTTAATTTACCTCGTAACTATGTCTTTAGAAATACTTTTTTTCTCTTATATTACCAAGGGAAAGAAATGCACTTCTAGAATTTCAAAGGAACTTTGTCAGAGCCAAGAAAAATTTGTTGACTGTCTCACCAGGCAAGCTATCACACTGTGAGTGCACACAATTTGTGGAGAGAGGAAGCAGCTTCCTGCCCAGGATCTTCCCTAGTGCAGCATATTCTGGTTACAGAGTATGCACTAGCAGACATGGCCCATGAGAAAGGCCAGAGCTTTGTGCATAGCTAACGGCCTTGTGTCCAGCCTGAGGGCTCCCCATTCAGTCTTGAACCTCTACTGCTCATACCAGCATATCTAGTTTAGAAGGACAGGAAGAATTCGGAGATCTCACTTGTGTTACCACCCTGATGATCACAGAATAAAGTGAGATGTGATTTTTGGTTTGCATGTCAGGGTATTCAGTTCAAGAGCATAGACACTTGGACTTTGTTGTTTAAATGCTACATGTGAGGTAGATGTTTAAGTTGTCACTGAGATATGGGGAGATGTGGGGTGAGATTCAGTTGCCTAAATAACTGAAGGTATCAAAAACTTTTTTTGGGGTACCCTAGCTGATCTTCCCTTAACTCCACTAGCCACTACAGAGGGGCAGGGATGTTTGCAGGTCTCCTATCATCCCTGCCATCCCCATGCATCTATCTCCAGTATTCTAGGGTATGTCAACTGACTGGATAGAAGGAGGCAAGATAGCTTCAGGTACCTCAGATGATGACTAGAGATTAAGAGATAATATTTTTCACTTTGTAGTCAGGCTTCAAAAAACATTATACAGCAAAAAAAAACTGGAAAATAGCCTTTTATCTCAAACTAGTGTCCTTTTATATACAGTTCAGGGTTCAAAAATTTAAAGAATAAATTTAAAGATAAATGGCAGCGTTGCAGGGTGGGGTGGAAAAAAATTGTGTAACAAATGCCTGACATTTATAGCCTTTATAACAGTAACACTTCACTTGCTTCGAGGTTTAATACAAATTGTGTATGAGAAACTCTCTTGTGTTCCCTCTATGTGTGTCACCATACCTTGATATCTGTGGGCTGTTGTGCCTATTACTTATCAGTATCTGTTCCTAAATTTCCTGTCTGCACTCCTGTTACCTGTACTGGAACTGTCAAGCACTTTGGCTGCTGTCTTTTACCACGTACATTGTAAAATGTACTGTCTTTACTATTCTTAGCTTTCTTCTTTTGTATGCTGCTGGGTAAAGATGGTGCTGAGCAGAGATAATGCTGTATACAGACTATTCTTTAAAGCAAGAAATATTTGCAATATGGGAAAGCCTTTTAATTAATTTGAACTGTAGGTGCAACAGAACACATTTATATTCTTGAGTTCAAATGTGCTTATGGGATCTTAGCCTGCTTACAAATAGATAGGATACAACTGCTTCTTTTAGCTACATATTATTGACATAATTGTTTTCTAACTTCATGAGAAATTAACTCTGAGAAATGCTAAGCCCACATTCACCTCAGCAATCTGTACATTAAACATTTAGTCTGAGGTGGTCAGCTGCACTCCTTCCTGGGATACTTGACGTAGAGAGAGAGCGACTCCAGAATACTGTTCATCCCCTGGTCTTGGTTGTCTGTGGTCTTCCCCAAGTACGTTTTCCTCCATCCAAGGGAGAGTGATATGACCCAGCTAATCCAGCAGTCTCACTTGTCCACATGGGAACAGTTAGCTGACATGAAACCTGCCCTTGTTTGTTTGTATCTTACGAAATAAGATGAACTCAAGCAAACATTTTAGAGAACGGAAGAGGTTCTTAGAGCAAGAAATAACCATTTCTTCAGTACAGCTAAGAAATTGCTTTTATCCATAGGTCACGATGAAGATTATTGCCATGTCACCTTCTGGCTTCTGGCAAAGCAGAAGAAATCGGTACGATCTCTTGGTGACATCTCTTGGAGTTATATGGGTGATACTTCACTTTGCCTTACTGGTAAGATTTACAAAACACAGTTCCACTGATTAAGCTTCATTTTATCTGTTAAGCACCAGCAGTAGGATCGCTGCTGCACATCCAGATAAAACCTTGAGAGTTTAATTAAGGCTGAAATATGGCTGAAACAAATTGAGCTTGATGCTAAGAAGAAGGAATCTTTCTCATGAACATTGATGAAGTATAAAAGTTGTCTTACTTGTATGAATTAGAGCCTGTAAAAGTGGTAGAAAACTGAAGTCTTTAGGAGAGATGTGAATGAGAAAGTATGAAATTTGAAGAGATTGAGAGCTCTTGCCAACAGCAGCGTCATGAATGTCAAGGAAGAGGCAATACACAGAGGACTGGAAGAAAGCATAGGTTCAAAATTGCTGAACAACACACTCTGTCCCAAACCCAGCAGTGATTCTGGCCCACTGGCTTTGGGTAAGTGGCAGTGTTTAATCCAAGAAGGCATGGAGGAGAGGAAATCTGCTCTCCCTCCTTCACACCTCAGTTTTTTAAATTTGGCTGCACCCTTGGTTCCCTTATTTACAAAGGATGGAGAAGGGATAGTTGATAATTGTCATCAGTAACAAGACAGCCCTATAATGGCTGTGACTTCTCTCTTGTCTGCCCCAAACTCTGTTGAGAAGCAAACCAGTCATTTTGCCCTGACATTCACAGTTTGCTCCCTGCTACTGAGTAGCTTGGAAGGCCTGAGGAGGTTCCATAAGCCAGCAGCTGCCTAGACAAGCAGACTGGGGCTGCTGGACAGAATTACAGCCCAGCTAATAGGTGACTGAATATTTTTTTGGTTTGGTGTGTGGGTAGGTCAGATTAGTATTTTTGAAATAGTAGACTATCTATTACTTTGTTACTGCTCCACTGTTATTGAAATATTTGTACGACTAGTTTGTGATTTCTCTAATTTCATATGACAGCTGCCCTACATTATTAATAAAGACCAATTATCCTGATCTTTCCATGAGATCCCTGGGAGACAATGTATTAAGTCTTCTGTGTTTCTGTTCCAGAATGCATACACATACATGATGGGAGCATGTGTAATTGTCTTCAGGTTTTTCTCAATTTGTGGGAAGCACGTGAGTATAAATTAGGAATTTATTACAATAATTGCAGTGCTGATGTATAGATTAAAGGAATAGTTGCTGCATGTCTCCAGTGCACATTCTGTAAGGCTTCATTTTATATGCAAAAAAAAAGGAGACTTAGAGCAGCAGTCTCCAATCTTACATGCTGTCTTTAAAATGTCAGGATTTTGGGTGTATTATATAATAGCACTATATTATTGTTACTGGAAAAGCTGCAATTATTTTTTTATTTTTTTTTTCCAAAAAAAAATAAAAGTGCAACTGCAATGCCACATAGATTTTAAAAAATGCTCTCTAAACCTCTAAACATAAATTGTGCTGCTTTCAGTCTTTGACATTTCACTGTGGCACGATGTGCACGCTATTTATTCATTCTCTCTGCAAGATTAGTGGAGTGGTGGTTGATGCACTCATCTTGTTACATAGAAGTTTATTCCACTAGAGCGTAGGTCTATGCCTTGTGTCTCTACAAGATGTGTCTTATCACAATAAAGGATTTATGTTCATTTTTTTAAAAACTATTGGGCCAAGATAGTCTTCTGGAAACACTGGCATGGCAACAAAGCAAGTAACTTCTAAAGTTTAACTATTCTTTTGTGTTTGGATTTTCTCTGGTGTAATTGAGAGTAGGCTGACAGAATAAGTGTAGGCAGAGAACAAACACATTTGTTTAACGAGTGGTGACACTCTGCATTCTCTTGCTGTAGAACTTCTTAGACTATCCAAACATTTTCTGTGAAGCTGCACATATTAAAGTAAATGTGATGAAAAGACTGCTGTACTGGGTTGCTGGGGTTAAGAACAGTAAGTCATAGGGTTTGTTCAGTAAAGATAAAAAGTTTTCTTTCAATCAAACTACACAGGGCCTGTAGAGCCTTGGAAGTCAAATGAAAAATCCTTGCTTCTCCTATGCAGCCAGACCAAGTGCTTGCCTTCAAAGCTTTCTGATTGATTCTAAAGTTTTTTCAAAGTTTTAACCTAGTCATTTTTGCTTTCATGTTAGGAGCTGGATTAGTTTCACTGATTTATCTGTTGTGATGCAGTGTAATGACTAAAAGTCAGCATGAGTTATCAGTTTGTCATGTTTCTAAAGAAAACTGCTACCCATTACAGAGAATTTTCCATAGCATCCATAGTGGTTAAGGGTGTTAGGACAATCCAGGGCAATAACCTCAGCAAGACTAAAATGTACCATCTGTATGCATGGGAAAGTAGTATCTATTATCTAGGCCTATGGCCTATGTAATTTCCAAAATGATGCTCTCTTCTTAAGCTCTTTGGCCTGCTTGTGTGGGAATTTATTAGCTTAATCAAGCTGTACTGATCTTAAGGAAATGCCCTTCTCTGTACATCAACACATTCCTTTAGGCAGGCTACAGTATATGTGATTTCAACCTAACACCACTTTCAAGTGTGCCCAAAGTAGTTTCCTGCACCACTGTTCATGCAAAGCTCATTTTCATGCTTCTGGAACGTGTTGATCCTAGAGTATTATCGCTGAGCTTATGCTGTGTTATTTCTGTATTACCCTACACCATATGATCCTGTATAATCTCTTTGAGGAGCGACAGCTTGACCTTGTAAATTAGGTAGAAATGCTGATCTCTTTAACAGGTAAAAAGCACACTAAATTTCAGAGGAAGACACAAAATGTTCAGTTCCAATCAGATTCATCATGTACCATTTCACTTGGCTCATCCGTTAACCTGTATGTGTAGAGAATCTGTTGTTAAAATGGTAGGCATGATAACTCTCTTTTCTCTGTCATCTCTGCTTTCCTGTATGGTGTCATGGATTTTTTTCTTCTCTGTCCTTCCAGGTGACTCTAAAAATGCTACTCCTGACTGTGGTCGTCAGCATGTACAAGAGTTTCTTCATCATAGTGGGAATGTTCTTACTGCTTCTTTGTTATGCTTTTGCTGGAGTGGTTTTATTTGGTACAGTGAAATATGGAGAGAACATTAACAGGTACAGTATGTACTTACTACCTCATGGGGATGCTCTTTAAACAGCCTGAAAAAAATCACATTCTGCTACAGAGTGTGCCTGTGGTAAAAAATTAGATCTGAGTCCTCAGGTCTACCTGAAGAATTCTAAACAGAATTTCTGGTAGGAGACACTGAGCCATCTTTCTGGGCATTGGACCGGATGACACTTGGTCCATCCTGAGAGCTGCTCTTCATTATGCCAGCTGGAAATATGCTTCAAAGCAGCACTGCACTTCCCACCAGCTGCTGAAC